TATGCCAGATCTGGCCAACAGGCTGTAAACTGCTAATCTCTGATCTAGATTACTCTTAGTTATTGATAAAATTCCACCATTAGAACACTAGATGACTTTATAGGAAATCTTTTTCAGGGTGAGCTGAAATGAGCAAATACACCCACTACTGCAACCAAAATTATTGCCTTCTGGAACAACAGAGAACCCCTGTCCTTTTTCATGTGCCAGCCTTTTAAATACTTGAAGTAAATTATCATGATTCCCTTAAATAGCTTTTCTCCAGCTAAATATCCCCCATGCTTTCAAGCATTCCTTTTATTATGAAGTTTTCCAGACTACGGAACCATTTATCTTCTTATATACATATTCCAATTCCTATCAATCCTTTGAGGACAGGAGACAGATATATGACATATGGCTCTATAAATATGTAGGAGTCAAGATGTAACTTTAATTTTAGAATTTGGTTCATCATCTCAAAATACAAATTTTTTGTTTTTCAAAATTATCACACTCTTTAAGATAAATATATTTTGTGAGTATTTAGTGAAAGGCTTATGCCCAATACCATAATTGTACATTAATTTAAAGTGATTATTAAGAAAAAGAAAATGTTTCCCAAGAAAGTAGGTTTAATAAGTCAAGATTCAAAATGATTCCTCTGAATCAAAAAATGTTGGCAAGACTCATCTCTACAATTGGAATTGTACAGTGCAATTTGCTAAAGAAAGCCATCAGTCATTCCTGCTGAGAAAATAAAACACAGAAGGGAAAGAAAACACACACATGTACACACAAACACACATGCATCTGCAGTGTGTCCTTGGATGCCGATGCCTCTGGCTTATCAGCAGAGTAGGGCTGCTGGAACCGACCACACCCAGGCCGTCTCTAGGTGATAGTGTCTATTGTGTTCCATATTTCCCTAACTTGGGAAGAAGCCAAATTCGTGTTCTTAAAGATACTTTAACTCAAATTTCTATACTTTGTCATACCATTTGTTTAAAATTTTTTTCTTTTTAAAGAAAAACCCAGAAGACAAGATAATATGTATATAACTAAAAATAGGCCACATTTAGGCTGCCCTTACCACCGATTTCTGTAACATCTCTTACTGTGGATCAATTTTCTTAATAATTGTATACCTTAAACTGCATATTGCACCAGAAATAAGCCTGGATATGTTTGCTTGTAATAACGCTGGTTAAACTTAATTAACATTCTCCATTGTCTTCGTCCCGCTTGTCATTGTACAAGCTCTGCCTGGATAATCCCATTCATGTACATGGCTTCAAACACTAGCCACATATTTCTACAGCACAATTTCTCCACAAGGACAAGCCATGTAGTAAGGGGCCTGGTGGCACTTGCACCCAGCCAGTCCAACGCCACGAACCATGTACAATGCAGAGCACCACGGGCCATATAGGGGCAATGAGTCTTTACGGATCACTTAATTAGTGCCAGGTACTGTCCTAAGCGCTTTACAGAGATTTTCTCACTTAATTTTCTTAGTTCAATTACACATGCATGTTTACCTTCCTTTATTCGAAACCCCATGAAAACAAAAGTTTCAAAATATGAGAATGTAACAGATACTGTTCACTGGACACTAACTACTCATTCCTCTCCCCTTCTTCCTGGCCAAGGAAACATCAACTTTGCTCAGGCCATGAATGTGCCGCACTCATTTCCGATCTCTGCTAGCACAGCAAGGAGTAATCGTGTGGCCCTGTAGGAGACCCGACACCAGCCAGTGCCTCTTTGGGTGGGCCACGGAAAGGAACAACGTCCTCACGCTCTCCCGCCTTTTCCGTATCTTAACTGTGGGCATCTTGCACAGCGACATGTTTCCCTTTTTGACAGTAAGGACAGGGCCAAGACAATCACAGCAGTGTTGGGGCTGACATCAGTGAGCTACTGAAAAGGCCACGAACGTCCAGATTTCTTGATACTGAGGAAAAGGAACTCTTACTTGTTTTGTCCATTTTAAGTCCAGTTTTCTATTAACTTTCAGGTGCAAATATTCTTAGCTGATAGAAAACTATAATCTTAACAAGAGATTCCAACAAATATTTAGCACAACAGCAGAAGGAGAAGCAATTGCTTCACAGCCAAACAAAGGATGGTCCAGACAAGCGCTTTTAAAAACCGTGAGAAGCAAGTCAGCTCACACCACGGAAGACGCAGGATGTGGAGGCACCAGGTACTGCAGAGGACAGACCTATAGCTCTTGTGTTTGTAGGTTCCTTAACACAAAGGCCAGCTCCCCACCATTCCTCGAGGTCAAAGTCTACAATTATTCCCTGGAAATTTTCCTTATAGGCTTTCTTATTCCCGGTTGGCTGTTTTCACTTGTGACCGAGTTATTGAAAATATGCAAAATGACAAAGAAAAGCAAAACAAGCAAAAAGAAAAAGGAAAGGAGAGGAGCGGGAAAAGAAAAGAAACTTAGAGGAAGTAGAAATAATGCAAAAACAGAAGAAACATTCAAAAAGAAAAACACATGTAATATCCTCAGAGATTTTTAAAAAGAATGAGATCCTATGGAATAGAAAGAGTTAATGCAAAGTAGCAATAGCAAACAAAAATAACAAAAGGCCGAAAACAAGAAAAACAGATCGAGGCAATTTCCCATATGCTAACGTTTAAAAACTAGGTACAAAAGTTGAAAATTAGATTAGGTGCACATTGGAATTCCAAAGAGGAGAACCAAGAGGAAAGGGGAAAAGATTGTCAAAGAAAACCCGTTTTCTCAAGAAAGGAAACTCCCATCCCCTACACTGTCAGTAGGAATGTAAATTAGGATAGACATTATGGAAAACAGTAGAGAGGTTCCTCAAAAGACTGAACTTGGGCCGGGGATATAGCTCAGTGGCACAAGCACCTGCCTGGAAAGTGCAAGGTTCTGATTTCAATACCCGGTATCAAAAAAAAAAAAAAAAAAAAAAAAAAAAAGACTAAACTCACAATGGCCATAAGATCCAGCAATCTTACCATGAGCAATATCCAAAGAAAACGAAGATCTATAAGCTGCAGAGGCATCTACATTCCCCTGCTCACTGCAGACGCTTCACAACAGCCAACAAGTGAGAACCACCACGTGCCCGCCAATCGGTGAAGGGATAAAGGAAACACGGCACATACAGACCATGGTATTCTGCTCATCAATAAAAGCTGGCATCCTGTCATTTACAGCAATATGAATGAATCTAGAGGAAATTATGCTAAATGAAATAAGTCAAATACAGAGCGACATGACCTCATTTATACACAGAAGCTATAAAGTTGACCCTATAAAAGTAGAGAACAGAACAGTGGCCAGAGCCCAGGAGGAGAGTGAAGGGTAGGACTGGAGAGAGGATGGTTCCTGTGTACCTCTGGGGAGGAGGAGGAACTTCTAGTATTTATAGCACGGGATCACTGCTGTTGTCAGCAACTAACTGTACACCTCAAAATAGCTAATAGAAAGGATTTTTAATGTTCTCACAGAGAAATGACAGATGTTTGTATCATGAATCTAGCAATTACACTGACTTTATTATACATTATATACATATACTGAAATGTCACACTGTACTCCAAAAATATGTGCAAGTTTTATAAGCCAAATAAATGTATATATATGCATATGTAAGGAAAAACATTCTCTTCCTCTGAGAGTCCAGCATTTATAGTGAAATTAAAGCATGCACAAAGGCAGAGAAAATGTAGAAAAAGAGGGATAAACTGAGCATATCACAGCTTTCTGCCATGAATGAGTGTTGCAATTCCCAGTCATTTGCATCCAAATGACATCAAGCATCTTATGGAACTACACCTTCAGAGTTGTAAGCAGGAGGCTACCTTTGCCATAGAATTTCAGAACCCAAAAAACTAGTCAAGCATGAGGACAAGTGAAGGCATGCAATGATGCAAACTTTTTGTGCCTAATGTACCTTTCTTTCAAAGAATTCCTTTCCCTTATCTTTCTGCAAAACAAGAGAATAAACAAAGAAAGGTGAAACACATGATTAAGAAAATAGGAGCCTGCTCCACAGGAAAAGGGCAAAGAGATGCTCCACAGTGAGAGTTGGTGCAGCAGACCTAGACCCAGACTGAACGGCTGGCCTTTAGGGCAGATGTGACTGACAGGTTAGGTAATGCACTTTGACAGTTGAAGCTAAATCTACTGTGGGATTTGGCACATGTACTGACAGATACACAGAGTTTCTGTTGGAGAAACACAGTAAAATATTAGATCAATCAATGTAAGATTGTTGTTTTGTAGGTTAAAATTTTGTCAAATATTGACAGATTCCTATGAGTCGCTGAATTTATACCCGAATAATATGATGGTGAAAGTTTACTTTAAATATTCTAACAATAACAAAAAGAAAAACTGAAGGAATATATGAAACAAGCATGTCAGAAAGCTACCTGTACTGAAACTGGGTAACTGGCACATGGATTTCACTATCCTGTTCTCTCAATTCATTTGTATGCTAAAAATCCCTTAATAACAAAACTGTAAAATGGAAAGTATGACAGTAGCAAAATGTTCAGCATTCAGTAACTTCAGACGGCCGGAAGAAGCTCCATTTAGCAATGCACAGATGAAGTCCAATCACAGAACTACTGCACATAGGAAAGGAGAAAAATCAGCGAAAGAACTCATCTACTGGATCTCCACGCAGTGGGAAGGGAAATACTGGGAATAGTTCACAACTCCTCCATCCCTTCCCTGACGCTGCTGCACAACAAAACAGTGCTTCCCAAAGTTGCTGCGATTAGATTCAAAGCCCAGTGAAAGAGCTTCACACCTCCCATCGATTACTTCTTAGCTTATTCCTCTTCTTGTGCAGCCTAGATCCAGGGTTCACCACTACAGTCGTGCCTCTGTGAAGTAGGTAGTTACAGTAAAAATGTTATTTAATTGTAAATAGTATATACTATTTAATAATGTAGTATATTATATAGTATTTTAGTTTCTGACATTAATGTTGAAAGTCTGAAATCAAGACCAAGACACAGATGCCTATTATTAATAGCATTTTTATTCAGTATTGTACTTGAAAATCCAATCAATTTAGTATGGCAGGAAAAAGAAATAAAAAATAAAATTACTGGAAATGGGAGAAATAAAGTACTCACTATTCTCAGACAATGCTGTATATAGAGGATCATGTACATAGAAAACTAAAAAAAATCAATATATAATTAGCATCAACAGGTAAGTTTAGCAAAGTTGTTGCAAATATGGCAATACGTAAAATTCAATTGGATTTCTATACATTACCAATTAGCAAAATAAAGTATTTAACTAGTATTTTTAACACACTAAAGCCATCAAATATCTGGTGGGGGGAATATGTAAGACATTTATGCAGATAATCATAATATACCATTTAAAGAAACCAAGAACAAATAAATGAGAGATTTATTACATTTAGGGGATAAATTCTTCACAAATTTATCTATACATTCAGCGCAATTTCAGCAAAATTCTAACAGGTTGTTTTTTGGAACTTGGTGACTTGAGCTAAAACTTTCATGGTAATGCAAAGGTATTAGAACACTCAAGACAATCTAGAAGAATAAGTTGAAATAACTTGCCTACCAGATGGCAAGACATAATCTGCTTTATTATAATTCATTAACCTGTGAAATTTCATTAACCTGCACAATTATATCAGATGTGTGTTATAGTTCACTATAAAACTTTAAAGAACTCATAAATGTTTTGATGACTAAAACAAAAAGTAACAGTAGTTCCAAGAGTGATGGTGCATCCCTATAATCCCAGCTGCTCAGGAGGCTGAGGCAGAAGATCACTGGTTTGAGGTCAGACTAGGTAATTTAGTTAGATCATGCCTCAAAATAAAAAATATTTTTAAAGGTACTGGGGATATAACTCAGTCGGCAGAACACTTGCCTAGCATGCATAAAGCCTTGGGTTCAAACCACAGCACTGCAAAAAAAATAAAATAAAAAGTAATGAATGCAATGAATTCAATAAAAATATTATTCAATAAACTAAATATTTATTAATAAAATAAATATTTTATTGAATTTTAAATAGTAAATTCAGAAAAAATTAATCACTTATATACCACCGCTACAATAAATGTAAAGAAATCAAGTTAGCATATAAACTGTTCTTGTACTAAATATGATAAGACTGAATTCTGCCACTAAAGAGAGACACTTTCAAATTGTATTATACAAAGCACTGAATTTGTTATATGCTGTTTACAAAAAGCCCCCTTAAAATGATCAAGAAAGGAGCTAGAGACGTAGCTCAGTGGTACACTACTTGTCTAATATGAATGAGGCCCTGCATTCAATCCCCAGCACTGCAAAAATTAAATTAAAATATTATAAAATATACAGAAACAAATTCAAAAACCTACAAAAACTGAGTAATTTCATAGCAAAATATAAAGGAACCCAAGAACAAGTGGAAAACTAAAATATACCAATAACCACAGACTAGATTATAAAGGTCAAAGATCTACATTGAGACAGAACAGGAGATTTCATAGTTTGTGTCAGCTAACCTGAGAAAAAACTTTTAGTGTCATTTGAATTCTGACAGAAAGAAGAAAAGATGGAGAACCTCCTAATACATTTTATGAATTCAAAACTTTAACATAAAAGCTTCAGACTAGCAAAAAGAAAAATAAGAAAACCATAATCTCATTTATAAATATAGACATAAAATTTCTAAACAAAATATTGCTAAGCAACACTCAGTAATAATTCCAAAAAAAAAAATACACTGGAACTAATCAGACCTTAATCTCACTAATGTAAGAGTGGCACAGCACCTGCCTGGCAAGCATTAAGTCCTGAATTCAATTCCTGGTACAAAAAAAAAAGCAAAAATTTTTCTACTTGGTGAAACAAAATTATTTCAAATAAAATCATAAACCAAACAGGATGGCCATTATTGCTATCATTACTCAACATCATTTTGGCAGGGTTACAAATTAAATAAACACAGGAGAATAGATACATTATTTTGCTAAATGTGTAACTGTATATTTAGAAACTCCAGTAAACCATAATTTAAAAAAATCTAGTAAAGCTGGGCATGGTGGCACATGCCTGTAATCCTAGTGCTAGGGAGGCTGAGGCAGGAGGACTGCTAGGTCATCCTGGGCTATATAGTGAGTTTAAAGCCAGCCTGAACTGCATAGCAAGACTCTGTCTCAAAAAATCAACAACAAGAAACTGGTAGAATTAATAATATTTGATAAGGTAAACACTGTGATATAAGATACATACACAAAAGTCATTAGGTTTTTCATATATGAAGCATAAAGAGCTAGAAACAGAAATGAGAAAAATATCCCATGCAGCATAATGAAAGTATCAGTGAAATACAAGGAGCAAATTTAGTAAGAAAAATACAAAATTTATGTGAAGAAAATCATAAAATCATATTTAAGAATAAATTTTGAAATTAAATGAATGGAAAGACATCTATATTCTTATGGGGGAAGATGTATCATTAAAATGTCAATTCCCTTGAGATCATAAAAACAAAATCAGGACTTTTAAAAAGGAAATTAGGTAAAAAATGAGAAAAATATAAAGTATGAATTTTAGTTAATAAAAATGTATCATTATTGGTCCCTTAACTACAACATATGTATCATATTAATAGTAGTAAAACTAGGTGAAGAATATACTGAAATTTTCTATATTATCTTTGTTTTTGTTCTTTTCATGGTGATACTGGGGATTGAACTCAGGGCCTTGTGCATGCTAGGCAAGTACTCTACTACTGAGCTATACCCCAGCCCTCTGTGTTATCTTTAAAACTTTTCCAGAAATTTAAAACCCTACTAAAAATAAATTTTATTTTAAAAACATATCTGTGAGACAATGAGGGAAATTCATTTCAAAATAAATAAAATACAGCTAGAGCAATTAGGCAACAAAAACCAAAAAGCATACAAACGGAACAAAGAAGTCAAATTATCCTTGCCTTTAGATAATACAGGTATATACTTAGAAGACCCTAAGGACTCTAACAAAAGACTTTTGGGACAGGCAAATAAAGTCACAACAGAGCAAGATACAAAATAAACATTAAAAGTCAGTAGCTTTACTGTACACCGATAGGGGACTAGCTGAGCAAGGAATCAGGAAAACAATTCCATTCACAATGGTTCCAAAAAATAAAATTCTTAGGGACCAATTTAGCTAAAGAGGCAAAAGACCTTTACAGTAAGAATTTCAGAGCCTGAACGAAGAAATTAAAGAAGAAACTAGAAGACGGAAAGACCTGTCATGTTCATGGACTGCAAAATTAATACTGTCACGTGACCACAGTACCAAAGAGATCTACAGAGCCAACGCCACCTCCATCAAGTACCAGAGACATTCTTCACAGAACAAGTTCCGACATTCTTACGAAAACACTAAAGATGTAGGACAGCTGATTCAATCCTGTTATGGTTTGCATCTGTGTGTCCCCCCAAAGCCTCATGCAATCATGGGGCGGGCTTTCAGAGTTTGATTGATTATGGGTGTGAGAGTTACACCTGCCCTGGGGCGGAGAGTTTGCATATGTAAGGGAGAGGAAGAGGCTGCTTGCCGCCATTCCTCCCTTCTGTGCTTGTTGCTTTTGCTGTGTTCTGCCGCCATGAACTGTATGTAGCCCTGTGCCATGTGCCCCTCTGCCTTGTAACCAGCCAAGTATGGGCTGAAACCTCCATACACTATAAGCAAAATAAACCTTTCCTTCCTTAATTTTGGCATCAGGTATTGTGTCCCAGCAACAGAGGAAAGTCACCAAGACAAATCCTAAATCCAAAGAGCAAGACCAGGGGTATAATGGTCGACACTTTGTGTCAACCTGAAGTCTAGAGCTTCACTAAGTGACTCAGCAGTTCTACACCCCAAGGACACGCCCTTGCCCTAGCATACTGCTCACTGCGTCAACCTGAGAAGTTTAGAAGTTTAACTAAGCAACTCGGCAGGGAGCCAGGGTCCTCACTCTGCACACATCCTGAGCCTGTGCAAGAGGAGGGTGGGAGATGGTGTGGGTATAAAGGACCCCCCAGGTTGGAGAGCCTGCTTACAGTATAAGGGAGGAAAGGAGGTTTGCTCCCCTTTTCTTTGTTCTTGTTGCTTTCACTGTCTTGTGGCACCTTGAACTGTTGCCCTCTGCCATGTGCCACCCTGCCCTAACTATGGACTGAAACCTCCACAAACTACAAGCTAAATACACCTTTCCTCCCTTAATTCTGGGTGTCGGGTATTTTGTCTCAGCAACAAGAGAAAAGAAACCAAGACAGAGCATCACAACCCTGGATTTCAAACTGTACTACAGAGCCACAGTAACGAAAACGTCATGGCACTGGACCCAAAACACATACGTAGGCCAACGGAACAGCATAGAGGACACAGAAAAAATCCACACAGCATCAACCATCTGATTCTGGGCAAAGAAGCCAAAATTACACGCTGGAGAAAAGACAGCCTCTTTAACAAATGGTGCTGAGAAAACTAGATATGTGCTTGTAGAAGGTGGAAACTAGATTCCTATCTTTCACCCTATAAAAAAATCAATTTCAAATGGATCAAAGATCTAAGCATAAGACCTGAAGCTTTGAAAGTGCTGAAAGAAAACATATGAAAAATACTGGAAGCCATGGGCACAAGCAAAGACTTCCTGAGTAAGTGTCCAACAGCACAGGAAATTAAAGCAAGAATGAGCAAATAGGAGTACACCCAATTTAAAAGTTTCTGCGCAGCAAGGGAAACAGCTAACGAAGTGAGAGACAGGCTTAAAAATGAGAGAAAATCTTTAACAGCAACTCTTCTAACATAGGATTAATATGTAGAATATATAAAGAAGTCAAATAGCCAAATCAATAAGTGGGTAAGTGAATTAATTAGACATTTCCCAAAGAAGAACTATACATAGCCAATAAGTATGTGAAAACATATTCAACATCTTTAGCCATTAGGGAAATGCAAATCAAAACTACTTTGAGATTGCATCTTACCCCAGTCGAAGCAGCCATTATCAAGATTACAGAAAGCAATACATGCTAGTGAGGATGCAGGGATTGGGGCAGGGAGGAATCCTTCTATACACCACTGGTGGGAATGTAAGTAAGAACAGCCACTATGGAAATCAGTACAGAGTTTCCCCAAAAAAACCCCTAAAAACAGAGCTACCATTTGACCCAGTTATACCACTCCTTGGTACCTGAAGCAAGTAAAGCCAGCATACCATAGGGATACCCACATATCCAAATTTACTGTAGTGCAATTCACAAGAGCCAAGATAGGAAACCAGCCCAGATGCCCATCAACAAATGAATGGATAAAGAAAATGCTGCATTATACACCAGTGGAGTATGACTCAGCCTCAAGGAAGAGGAAATTTCTGTCACTTGCAAGAAAATGGGTGAATCCAGAGACCATCGTGTTAGGCAAAATAAGCCAGACTCAGACAGACAAACACCGCGTGCTCTCCCTAACATGTGGGATCTACAAAGGGCGACAAAAAAGGAGAGAGGGCATAAGCACAGGCAATGACGGAGACGGATACGGGCAAAGTCTATTTCACACACTAACACCCCCAGAAGTGTAAAGCCAGCGGGTAGGGTAGGACAGGGGACAGACGGGGACGAAAATAATTAAAGTATACTATGTAAATGTATGACTCTGCCAAAATGAAATACATTGATCTGTGCAGCCAATTACAAAAAGTGAAAAAAGAATGCAGAAAGTATGAATGATACAATGTAAAATCAATTAGTAAGTGTGATCTAATTTGTATATATGAAGCAACTATTTGTAATCATATACACATCAATAATAAAAAGTAACTCCATAAAATAAATATAATGGAATTCCTGTTAAATGCATGGAGGTATCTTAAGCATTAGAGAAAAAAAGGCCTAAGAAAGCAGATCCTAAAAAAGAGTAAGAGGAAATACACTCTAAAGACACTGTAATTAAGTCTATATGGACAGTGGGTGTCAGAATAGATCGGCTGATCGTGGTGTAGAACAGAACCCAGAAATAAAATCCAGTTTACATGAAATTTTCAAACACGACAAAAATCTGTTTAATTTTAATGGGGAAAAGAGTGGTTATTTAATAAATGGTGCTGGCCCAACTGGCTATCCATCCGGCAGAAAACAGCTCCTTATCTCATATTAAAAAACAAATTTTAGATGGAATAAATGATTAAATGTAATAAATAAACCACCAAAAGTTGGAAAAAACCTAAGAGGGGCTGGGGATATAGCTCAGCAGCATAAGCGCTTGCCTGGCAAGCCTGAGGTCATGAGTTCGATTCCTGGTACCACAAAAAGAAAAAGAAAAAGAAAAAAGCCTAAGACACAAACAGCTAACAATGTTTCTGAGCCAGAAAGCAAAGGTAGAAGTATTCAAGTTGATAAAAATTAGAAGCTATTTACATTGTGAAAGCTATCATAAACACTAACAGGCTAATGCTAGACGTGGAGAAGCATTTTCAAGAGAAAGAACAGGCAGTGGCTGGCCAGTCATTACCAGGGCATTGACAACATGTGGGAAGGGTGTGGCACCACGAGGACAAATCCACAGAGCTACCGCAGCGAACACGCTCTAGTACACTGAGAATTAGAGAAATACACATTACAGTGAAGCAGTAAATACCCAAGAACAGCCAATCAAACAGAAGAAAAACTACAGTGCAGTAAAATCAATTGCCAGCAGGACAAGGAGGGAAAATGTAAATTGTTCACAGCTGTTTTGGAAGGCAATTTAATAAATGTTTTTACACTAAAAACACACAGGCACTTCAACCAACAAATCATACTCCTGGGGATCGATCCCATAAAAATAAAACCACCAATAAAATGTTTACTGCAGCACCGCTTGCAATGTGAAAAATAAGAAACAAACAAAAATGAGTTCCTAGTAATAAGGTAATAAATAATAATACTCCCATACTGTGCAATATTAAGCAGCCATTAAATAGAATGAATTCAAGCTAACCATATGCCTCCATCAAAACCCACAGAAGGACAGTGTGTGCCTAAGTGTGGCCGGGCGGAGGGTGGGGGGCTGCGAAGACCCTCGTGGAAGGGCACCCAGCTGCCAGCTTGCTGTACCACACTACCTGCCAAGCAGGGAGGGGTGTGAACAACACAGGGGTTGAAGAGAAAAGAGGAGAACACGTGACTCCATTTACGTAAGTAAACGCATCAAAGCCCTGTCGTAAGGACAGTGATGAATACGCTGTGACTGGCAAGAGCTTCCGTCTTCCGAGGAGCACCGCGCTCGACTACTTCACAGTCTTTCGGCACTTTCTCACCCGCTGAACCATCAGTTCCGTACAGGGAAAGTCTCACAACCGTTTGTGCACTTCACTCCCACTGAAAGACACTGCTTTCCATTAACTGATGACCCAACTGTTATAAAACTGAATTTCTACTTATCAAGGTGGGATGTGCTTTTACACTTAAATGTAAGAATAGTAAATTAGAAAAAAATAAGAATTTAGTAATGTATATTTACTAATTGTTGGAATATCCATAAAATGAAATACAAGTTATAGAAGAATATGCATAAAGTATTCCATTTGGGTCACAACATCAAAACCTCAATTATAAATGTACACTTAAGTATATTTTTAAGTAAAAGAGAAAGCCGTTGTCCAAACCCATTATTACAAATTACATAAAGGGAAGGAAATGAAAAGAGGCAGATTACTAACTTTGCCTTCGTAACTCTCAGCACTGTATCACTTCTCTTACTACACTAATAGTAATAAGGAAAAGGTATTGCTTGAAACTTGAAAATATTAAGCAATTAAAACAAAGATAATCTATAAACAATAAAATAAAATAAGTTGGAAATTATTTAGTACCTACCTCACAGGATCTGCTGTAAAGATTAAACGACCTAATTCATGTAAAGTGCTTAGTATATTTCCCAGTATGTTGTAAAGAGCAATCAAGTTCAGCTATTTTTATTAAAGCAAAAGACTAGAGAGAATAGCAGAAAGTACAAAGCTGAAAAAAAATAACATCTATATACAGAGCACCATTCTGCATATTACTCAACATTGTGTTACTGAGGACTGCAAAGGACTCATTATGACAACCATACAGCTTACTAAATATACCTTCACTGACAGTAAAAATAAAATTACAATCAAAAAAATAAGGTACTTAAAGCCAAGTGTGGTGGCTGGTGGAACATGCCTGTAACCCCAGCACTCGGGAGGCTGAGGCAGGAGGATCACCATGAGTTTGAGGTCATCCTGAACTACTCAGTGAGTTCAAGGCCAGCCTGAGCTACAAAGTGAGGCCTTGTCTCAAAAAAAAAAAGATATGGCAGCTGGGCATGGTGGCGCACGCCTATAATCCCAGCACTCTGGAGACTGAGGCAGGAGGAGAGAAGGAGGAGGAGGAGGAGGAGCAGGAGCAGGAGGAAGAGCAGGAGGAAGAGCAGGAGAAAGAGCAGGAGGGAGAGGAGAAGGAAATCTTTTGCCCTGAAGTTCACTTTAAGAACTTCAAGAAACATCCTAAGACACTATGCTTCTGTCCTAACACTTCAAATGAGAAATACTTGGGTCCTCAACAGCCTCCCAAGTTGGACAGACAAGAAATACCCAAGGGAGAAATCCATTCCTACACATACGTGATGCTCCACCCCTGTGATTTTCTTCACTAGCCTGCTTAAAACTATGCGCTTGGTTATGATCTATAGACTAAAATTGGCCCAGGAGTACATTCTTATTGTCCAATGAAACATTAGCATAGCTTCAGAAACTCTGTGCGCACATCATTAGGCTGACTACTCACATGGAATCGACCTTCTCCTCGGGGCCCTGCACTTGTCCTGTCACAGTGCCTTTGCTGGTGTTCTTCACCCAGCCAACGACGCCCATCTTCTTAGCCTCGCCTTCCGTGTACTGGTTTCCAGAGCAAGCAGGAGAGAAGAGATCACCCATCATCGAAAGTCTGAATTCACAGCATGCCTGACCGGATATTCAGAAACTGTTAACCTGATCATCATTTTTCTAAAAATGTAGTTTATGCCAACATTTGTGTCACTGACCTACAGCAACACCTCTGTTTATATGAACCTTCACGTATGTAGTATTTTCTATTAAATCCTCCTTTCAATAAATACAAGCGTATTATGAAAAAATAAACCAACAGTGGGAATTGTTTTGACCAATTTCTATGACGGTGCTCTGGGATCCACAAAATCCAGCTGCACTGCCCGCACACCTGTTCACACTGAATTACTGTTAATCTGGGTCCCAAGGGATGAACAATCAAGAGTCTCAATCCCTTTATGATCAGCATAAAGTATGCAAAGGCAGAAAAACATCTAAAGCGTTTTGAAATTTCTAACAAAAATGAGGGAAAATAATTTCAATAAGAAAATTAAACTAGTAAAAAACACTAGCCTAGATGTACTGATTTTATGTTAGGTTAAAAGATTGTTACGGTTTTTGTTGGCTCTGAACTTGTCAAAAAATGATGTAACTAAGGCTGGGGATGTAGCTCTGTACAAGACCCAGGTTTGAACTTCCAGCCTTGCAAAGTGTCGGGGCACAAACATTACAATTCTCTATGGGTAAATTTGTCTCTCCTAGTACTCTTTAAAATTTTCTTGGGCCTGGGGTATAGCTCAGTAGCACAAGCACCTGCCTGGCAAGCGCAAGGTCCCGAGTTCGATTCCCAGTACCAAAAAGTAAATACATAAAAATAAAATAAAATTTTTATTAGTATATGTTTGTGATAGATAATATATTCATTGTAAGGTATTGGTACATATACATATCTTGATCCTTTTAAAAATTCTTTTTCCCAGTCTCAAATTTAATTTTCTTCTAGAAAATGAGAAAACAGGGGCTGGGGATTTAGTTCAGCGGCACAGCGCTTGCCTGGCAAGCGCGAGGTCATGAGTTCGATTTCTAGTACCAGAAAAAAACCAAAAACCAAAAAAAAAAGAAAATGAAAAAACAAGCAACATTTTGATTTTGAAGTATTGTAACCATATCATACTAAAAGCTTGTGGATTCAATCTACCAGAGCTTTTCAAAAACATGTTCTTCTGCTGGGCACGGTGGCACATGCCTGTAATCCCAGCTACTCAGAAGGCCAAGGTAGGAGGACCACAAGTTTGAGTCCAACCTGATCAATTCAGTGAGACAGTGTTTTGAAATTTAAAAGAAATTTGTTGTTTTCTTTTTTTTTTTTTTTTTTTTTTTTTTGTCTTTTTGAGACGGTCTTGTCATGCAGTTCAGGCTGGCCTTGAGCTCACTTTGTAGCCTAGGCTGGTCTCGAACTCGCACTGATCCCCCTGCCTCAGCCTCTCGAGTGCTGGGATTACAGGTGTGCGCCACCATGGCCAGCCTAAAAAAAAAATTTAAAACAGCCAAGATGTACCTCAGAGGTACAGCACCCTAGGTATGACTGCAGGGATATCATCAGGAGCACCTTCGTCTTAAACTTCATTTCTCCCTCGGCTGCCCTCCTCCATCACACGCACTAGGGTTGCAGTTGTTAGTTACAAGGAATTTAGGCTTGGACACGGGAACAACTTGCCCAGGACATTCAGCTCGCTGTGGTCCTAACCCCCTTTAGCAACCTTCTGTCAAGCCTTCAGGGACCCCACCCGTGCCACCTGGACTAGCCAGTGGGGACAGACTGTGAACCTCCAGCCCAACCTGTAGAAAGGTCAGCTGCTTCTCACCCGTAGGGTATAAAGGGAGGCTGCTGCTCCCTCTCTGTGCGCCTGCGACCTCACCCTAGGCTGTGGCACACCCTTCTGCAGAAGTAAGCTTGCCTTGTTGAGATTTCTTGGCGTCTGAGTGCTTTATTCTTTATTTCTGTGCCAATAAATTGAGTCTGGGGCTTATTGCCAACACTACCAAAAAAAGAAAAATGAAAACCAAAAACCAGCCTTCGGTTTGAAAGGCAGAGTGCTCAAGATCATTATAACTCCACAGTCCAATGGCATGAGGCAGCACAAGCCAAAATAGTCACACCTAAGATGGACACAGAGTTCATTCTGGAAATAAATCAAGATAATAAAGAAGAAAGAAAATGGACAGCACTCGGGAGGCTGAGGCAGGAGGATCATTGTGAGTTCAAGACCAGCCTGAGCTACAAAGTGAGCTCAAGGCCAGCCTGAACTGCATAGCAAGATCCATTCTCAAAAAAAAAAAAAGACAAAAATAAATAAAGAAAGAAAAGAAAAGAAAATGGAGACAGTCTGAATGGTGAAGGCAGAACATAGCTATCTCAAAATGTACTTTTCTGCTGAGAACATGCTGGAACTCCCAGGAGCTTGGGACCAGAAAGCTACTCTGGTGATTCTCAGGTCAGACAGTAGGTGAAACAATAAACCAGAGTTAATTTTTAAAAAGTGTTTAAAAAGCGTTAAAGAGTGTTTTGAAAAATAAAAATTTAAGACAAAACAATGAAAAAAATTTAAAATGAGACAAGGAACTTGAATCACTAAAAATCAGGGAACAACTCCCATATGGAACATTGGCGTTGCAGCCCAAACCACATTCCTTTGCCTAAAGGGTTTTTCCATCCAGAACAGATGGGAGATCCTACACTTTCCACCATATACGTAAATCAAAATGCCTAATTTGAATCACCCCAAGAGAGGTACTTTGGAAAGTTACAGAAAATAGGCATAGGAGCACATGCCTGTAATTCCAGTACTCTGAAGACCCTGTCACCGAAGTATACATACATTAACTAAAGTATACATACATTATGCATACATAATGTATGCATAATGAAGTATACATATGTTAACTAAAGTACACATACACGATGTATACATGATGAAGTATACACACGTTAACGAAAGTACACATACATGATGCATACATGATGAAGTACACACACGTTAAGGAAAAGCACACACATGTTAACGAAAGTACACATGCATGCTGTATACATGAAGCACACACGCATTAACGAAAGTACACATACATGATGAAGCACACACGCATTAACGAAAGTACACATACACGATGCATACATGATGAAGTACATGCGCGTTAACTAAAGTACACATACACGATGTACACGTGATGAAGCACACACGCGTTAACTAAAAACTAGGAAGGCAGCAATGTTTCCAGCAGGCTATTCTTTAAAGACAGCTTAAATAAAAACCACAATCAGTAATTTGAAAAAGTCGTGTATGTCTCTATTTGCTGTCAAAGACAGAAAAGAGGCAGTCGACTACCATTAGTGGAAAACTGCTTATTTTTGTGATTAAAAATAAGTGAAAACAGCAAGAAAAAAACAAAGATTCTAATGACTTACCATCCTGAAGCAAACACCTGCATAAGAAAAAAGATAAAAAGAAACGTCAGTTTATCTTTTTAAAAACCTATGTATTTCCAATCTTAACTCTCATATGCTTATTAAAGAGTTAATGCATGAAACGAATAAAATATTCAATATCTAAGTGAACTCAAAGGGTGTTCTTCAAAATTAGTGGCTTTTAAAATAGATGATTTTTTGAGAACTATGGTAATATTCTGAGATTAATGTAGGATGAAATGCTAAACTGGCATTCTACTTTAAAATGCTAAATAAAACCCACATTACAAGTACAGTTGAGGATATTTGCCATACAAGTTACCCGCCCTCAGCTTCTAGAACTGCTTCTTTAAATGCAAGAACTAATTACCTCTAGGCCTTTGGGCTAAGAGCAATAAGAAATGTAAGAACTAAATTCGAGTTTAAATGTTACACACTTTTTGTTTTTATTGTGTTTCGAGTATAACCAGAACCACTGAAGCAGCGTCACAATACGATACGCTTGAGCATAACTGGGCTTCTGAAGCCCAGAATGAAAATTAATTAAGTGGAAATAACCCTTGGGGTCCTCATGGCATAGGTTACATTATATTCATACTTTTCATCAGGTAGACTGGGTAGTTTTATTGGTCTTGGTTATATTCTATCTAAACTGCGGTAGACCAAGTCTCTCCACATTGGCCAATTGTCATGGCTTCAGTTTCTAGCAAAGCTGCGGGAGCTCCATCTGAGAAAGAAGTCAAGAATGTTATGGGATTTTACATCCTGGTTTATCTGTAACCAAACACTGATGCATACAGAATTGGGTCCTAAAGTAAAGTGAAAGAAGAAGCAAGCTGGTTCCAAATTAGCGATAATACGTGTTTATGATTTGAGACCTGCTATGGCTTAGATAAAGAACGTCCCCCAAAGGCCTCATGTGCTCAGAGGCAGGGCTTTCGGAAGACGATCAGGTCATGGAGGTGATACAGATGATCTGCTGTTGGGAGGCGGGTCTGGTTGAAGGAGGCGGGTCACCGGGAGTGTGACCTGGAAGGACACAGGTCCCTCTGCAGCTCCTCTCTCTACTCCCTGCCGCGGTGAAGTGAGCCCCTTCCCTCCGCGCAGACTTTTCTACCACGCTGTGTCCACGCTGAAGTCTGCTGAACATGAACTGAAAAGTCTGAAACATGAGCCAAAATAACCTTCTCCTTGCTTACGTTATGGGAGCTGTGTACGGCGCCCCAGCAAGAACACAGACAGACAGGACCTGTGAGGAAAGGGGAAGGCCTCCTTACATTGCTCCTGGAAACTGCAGAAAGGCTCCTGCACAGCAGAGTCTAGGTCGCTCCTACAAATGGGAGGAACTGTGCTCCAACAGGAGGCACAGAATAGGAGTTCTGGGGAGAGATGTGTCCCACAGATGACCTCGTCTCTGCGAGCTGGCTAGAACAGGTCTAAGAAGCAGCAGGAATATGTGAGGTGCAGAAATACAGAGCTTGTTCATACCTATTGCAGCTTAGTTTTGATTCCCACCTAGAACACACAGGAAATTTTCTTTGTAGTGCCCAAGACACCAAATAAACTAAAAAGCTTGTAAGTTAAAAGCATTATGCTAAGCAAAAGAAGCTCGACTCGGAACATGTAATTCCACACTCTGGAAAAGGCGAAACTGTAGGCTGACCAGAGACTGGAAGCTGTCAAAGCCTGCGAGGAGAGGAGAAAGCACTGCAGGAAGAGGCTGAGGGAACCCGGGGGATGATGTGGGTGTTCTGTACCCCAGCTGTGCTGGTGGCTACAGAATATAAATTATACCAAGGGTGAAAAGTTAACTGGGAAGTCACAGGGCAGAGATCAAGCCAGCTCTGAAAAGGCCAAAAGATATTGCTTCTACACACAGCAACTGAGACTGGTTAAGGGGATGCAGATGATCAGTAGCTTAAATATTTTTATAGCATTGCAAGCAGGTTTGTAATAATGTTTCCTGATGGTATTATGTTGTAGTGCTAAATGAACATGTAGAGAAAGGGCAATAAAGCAATAAAGACAAGATAGTATCACGAATGGGATTTTTATTGGGCTATAAAGATACTTCAAAAGATACGTGTGAAGTGTGGAGGGATGACGAGTGGGAAGCACCGACCCTGAAGGAATCAGAAGGGCAACCCACTACACAGACAGAGGAAAAGACATCAGTAGGTGTAAAAGGCATCGGTAGAAAATTCAAGACACACAGCTGACCTGACAGGTCAGCAGACTGACAGTCTCAGTCAAGTCTGTGCTGTGCGTATCGCCTTTGAGCTGCTCAACAGGTAACAGCCCCACGTATTAACATGAAAAGTACGTGAAACCGAAGCCAAAAAAAACTGGGAACACGTGGCCTCTTTCCCTCTTAGCGTGGCCCGTTTACCAGAAGCATCTAAGGGCTCTTTTTAACCTCAAATTCCCAGACCTCTCCTCAGACCTCCAGAAGTGTAAATCCTACAGGTAGAGTGCGTAAATCTGGTTAACATGCTCTCCAGGGCCGGGGATATAGTTCAGCTGCACAAGCACCTGCCTGGCAAGCACGAGGTCCTGAGTTTGATTCCCAGTACCAAAAAAATAACAACATGCTCTCCAGTTGAACCAGTGGCTGGCCCTACCTTGAAGGAAGATCTAGGTGAGACTTGAAGAAGGTTTATATTTCAGGTTAAGATTTGCACCACAGACTGGGGATACAGCTCAATGATAGAGCATGCCTGACGTACATGAGGTCCTGAATTAGACTCCCAGATTCACCAAAAAAAAGTTCCATCACAAAGAAGAAAACTAAAAAAGCTCAAGGAGTACTAAGTAGCCAGCTATCTGACACACCTGCCACTGATACAGTTCAAGTTGATGGTGATAACAAATCATGCGCTTGCCTGTCAACGCTGCCTCTCCTATTTTACAAGTCAGTAGTTCTACCTGAAGGAAACCGGGGACATTGGAAAGGAAAACTTTCTCTCCTGCACCTTGACTGAACCTGGTGTTGGAGCTTCTCGGGCTGCCTGGCACTTACACTGCTCCCTACACCCTTAGGCCAGAAACCCGGAGCTGCGAAGCTGACGCCCACCTCAAGCCCCAGTGAAGAACAACAGTCCTTGAACATTTATGACTCTCAGGAGCCCTTCGGCAGTTATTCACAAATAACAAACAAGGGCCTCTGGCTTAAAGCGAAGGGGCTTGAGCAATGTTTACAACAGGTACTGAACACACATAGCCACTGATTGCACGCCACAGGGTTAAGGAAATTACCCACAGTCTATTGATGGGGTATATTTTTTCACACAGACACAACCTAAGAATCACAAAGCTCAGATACACTCAAGGAACACTTTTAAGGGTTTAGGACAGAGCTCAATGGTAGAGCATTCGCCTAGCCTGTATGAGGCCTGGGCTTGATTCCCATCACTACAAAAGAATTGTCTAATTCTAAATGCAAAGGATGTGTCTGATGAAAAGTAGGTCTTAGAGTTGAGACTTCAGTCATGAGCAAAAATTAGTACAAGAGCAGAATAACTTTACAGATGAAAGAGCTGTGCAAGACCCAACGCTGGCACCGTGGCACAGTTAGACACCACACACTAAATCTTCAAAATCAGGCATTCTCTCATGCTCACAATTATTTATCGCCCCCAAACTTCACTGAAGACTTACGGAAAAATAGTTCAATTCTGCTCCAACTGTTTCTAGAATGGGTAGTAATGTTTTTACAACTAAAGCTTCCATAACCTTTTAGCTAATTTACTGCAAGGACCCTCTATTTTTATTTATTTATTTATTTATTTTTGTCTTTTGGAGACAGGTTCTCGCAATGCAGTTCAGGCCGGCCTTGAGCTCACTTTGTAGCCCAGGCTGGTCTTGAACTCGCAATGATCCTCCCACCTCAGCCTCCCGAGTGCTGGGATTACAGGCGTGCACCACCACACCCGGCTGGAAGGACCTTCATAACTGGTCTCTCCTCTACTGCTGCCTCCTACAGGACACTCTTCATACAGCAGCCGGGGAGGTGTAACAGAGGACCTCCTTTCCCAGCTTGAAACCCCCTAGCGGCTTCCCACACACTCAAATGTGACTGGTTACCCCGGTCTCAGGCCTGCTCTGCGCCTCCGCCTCATCTCTGACCAGCCCGCCCTCACCCCATCCCAGCCCGCACGCGTGCCTCTCGGGCTCCTCACACACACCAGGCACAGCCCCAATCTTTCGGCCTCTGCACTGGCGGCTCCTCCCGCTGGAAATGCTCCTCCTGCGATCTCATGTCTGACTCCTCATTACTCTTATTTCTGTACAAATCTCGCTCCTTAGAGAAGTATCTCCTAGTCCGTCTGAAGTAGCAATGCACGCCATGCCTGCTGCACAAACAGGCACAAGCGTACTTGTATCACCGCATAACATTCCGCGTTTAATTCTTCGCTGTTTATTTCCTGTCTTCACAGTAAACTGTAAGTTCCACAAGGGCAACTTCTACTGTCTTATTCACCCAAACCTAAACCGAAGTTGGACATACACTTGTTAAATAAACAAAAAAAAGAAAAACCAGCTCATGAATACTTAAGGGAAATATTTAACTACCCTGTAATGATTCCATATTAACACTGCAAATAGACATATAACCATATTGATTAGAATTTAAATTTACTTTCAAATAATGCTATATTTACTACATTCAAAGTTCTAAAAAGAATCCAAGTATGGTAGCATACACCTGTAATCTGAGAACTCTGAGAGGCGGAGGCAGGAGGGCTCCAAGTCTGAGCCTCATGTGGGAAATTCAGCACTGCAGCAAAACCTACAAATAAAAAAGGGTGAGGATATAACGTAGTGTAAAATCCCTGGGTTCAATCCTCAGTAACGCAAAAAAACAAAGTTTTAGAAAGAATCTCTAGAAGTCTATGTTGACTCTAGCAGGATAACAAATATATAGTGAGTATATAATCTATATCATTTATAGATATTCACATACACAACTATAAAGGATAGCAAGAGTCATTCTAGATTGATTTGTTTTTAATCCATATGTATGGTAATTTGATTTAAATTGTCAAAGTTTTAAATTTAAAAGCATTTTAGTATGAGTAGTAAGGACACACATACTTTTTAAAAATCTCAAGATAGTAAAACTGCAGTATTCATTAAATTTAAGAGCTATAATTTTAATCTTAGCTCATACTGTTGGGTAAACTGGATAATACAAGTGTAACTCATTACTTTAGGCAGTGATAAGACTGAGATAAATCTTATATTATTCAACATATACCTAATGCAAATTCAGTACATACATGTTTTAAAACATTTAATATATGAGTGCTCGTGGCAGATACTGCTACTTGTATGCACAAAACCCACTTTCGCTGCTGCTTTTCTCACAGAACTCTGATTTTCTCTGGTGGCAGCAAGGTGCCCCTTTCTATTTCCCAGTCTTCCTTATCTTAGGGGTGGTCAGTGAGAAATAAAACATTTGTTCAGGCTTTCAGTAAAGCTCTTCAGAGGTCTGATTCAGCCCGGGGAATTACATTTATGTCCTTTCTCTTCTTGACATGTACGTGTGAATATAATGAGTTACAGGAGTCACCTTCAAACCACAGGAAAGGGACAACGAAATCAGAGGGGATGAGGAAGGAAGGAAGGAACAGAGGCAAAGGGAATGGGAGTAGATGTTCATCTGGCTGACGGAAATGTTCTGGGATAAGCGGTAATGGTTGCAAAGCACTGTGAATACTAAAATCACTGTATATTCAGGGTTTATGAATTGTACCTCAACTTTTTAAATTGTTGCACACACATGTATGCACGGACACACAACAGAAATGCAATTCAGAAAACAGAACTGTGGTGCAATCCTTCCTACCTCTACATAGAGAACAAGGTTTATCGTTCTCCAATTTTGCTTACGTATCTCTCTATTTTTCCAGTCCAAAAACATTCCGCAGTGCGGATCATCTTGAAGTATTCAAGGAGAGCTGCACAGATGAACTCTCCTTAATTTTCACAACTTATTGCTGGAGGAGAAAACTTCCTGCTCCCTAGAGACAGCTCCCTCCATGAGGACGAGTATCATTAGTATGACACTCCTGGCCACCCTCTCCCTGACCCCTGACTGCTCCCCAGGGGTGCGCAGTGACTCATCTAACGGCTAAATGTAGAAGCAGAAGCATGCACAGCCCAGGCGCTCCTTCCTTCTGCTGGAAGAAGTGCCCACGGGGTCGTCCTTCTCTGCACTGGAGCAGCTCTGCCTGCTGGCTGGGTGTTTCATTCCGCAGTCTAGATTACTGTAAAGGCCAGTTACCTGCAGATGTGTGTCACATTGCCAAAACTCTGCTCTACTCTTCGTCTTCCTTGCTGATAGCTCTCATAATGATAACGGGTATAATTTACTGGGCTCTCAAACAACACCCTCAAGTCCTTAGAAGGGAACATGTGCCCAAGGGGTTTCGAGACCTTCAGCCCATTCACTTTCTGCAGAGCAGGGAATCGGCAGAAATCAACTGTTCAAAGTTCCACAGCTCTTGGAATTTACCAGACTCTTTCTGAGAGTCCTGACCCCTGTTCTGACACATCCTATGCACCTGAAGACATCGAAAGAAAGAGAAAAGGTGAACTGCAGACAGCTGTCCTGCCGTTGTCAGCAGGGCTGGAACACAGCCCTCTCGGGGCAAGGCCTCTGCTGAAGAAGATGCTTCCATGGGCTTTCACAGCACCCCAGGCTACTTCCACCTCACTTGCGAAAGAGAAGCGAAGCTGATCTGACGCCCTGCTCTGGAAACTGGGGCAGACCCCAGCCGCTTCCGTCATGACAGGCTCAAGCACTGCGTGTTGCTCAGCCAAGGCCCAGCAGCTGCAGCTGTTCTGTGTTTGTGGAAAGACCATCAGTGAGAAACAGGAGGGGAATATTTGCACAGCAAATATGCTTTAAGTCTACAAAGCAACATTGATATTTAAAGACACCATATGATGAATTTTAAATGTCAGCATCATTTAATGTCAAATCAGATTTTCATATTGTGATGTTCTCCATCCTGGGATCTCACTGCATATGTCAATTCTGAATGCAGGACGTGATCTAGTTACTAGCGTACAAAGCAGCCCTTAGTGATTTTAAACATGTTTAACTGTTACAAAATCATTCCTTACATGGAATAAAATTCTGCCTGACTTAACCTTTCCGCGTGATCCAGGGTCTGATTCCCTAGCGCCACATACCATGGCATCTTCCAAACTGCTGAAACGATCACCACACTACTGTTTCTTCGAGAAGGTAACTAACCACAAGCACCTCATTTTAACGCAAGGCACAAGTCCCCACTGGAGGCACAGCCCTGCAGGGGACATAAACAGGACACCAGCCTCATCTTCAAGATACTATCTTTATGTCCAGTGAGAGACACAAAGAACTACAGTGGAAAGCAGAATGAATGAAAGGAAAATAAACACAAGAAGTGCAACAACTATAAGTGAAATGCTATATAAACAAAGAAGTGAAAGGGATTTACTGTTAATTGTATTTGTATCGCTTTGCTTTAATGTACTTAAATTTTCAACCTCTAACACACAGTTTTTCTCCTTGCCTAGCCACATAAGGAGAGGTAAAACTTTATACTCTAAAATATGTGATAAAGCCATTTAATAATTCATTCCAGTTCTTGTTTTCAATTAATCTTTAAGAAAATTGCTACCTAAACCAGGCATGGAGGCCGATTCCTATAATCCCAGCACTCTCGAAGACTAATTCACTAAGTTGCGCAAGCTAAGCTCAAACTTGTGATCCTCCCGTCTCAGCTTCCCAGAGTGCTGGCATTACAGGCTTGTGCCACCACACCTAGCTTATAATACGGTCTGTAATTACTGCCCGTTTTATATTGTTAAAGTAAAAATTTTATTTTTGATGATTTGTGGTCAATTATTTCTACATAACCATTATGACTTGTATAAAAAGCTAGTGGTTTCTATTTATTTCTTAGGCGATCACAAGAAAATTGTGATCCATTCTGTAAGACAGAGACAAAGATCAACACACAGAAACAGAGGTGGGGAATGGCCCCAAGTGAGAGGCGGAATCCGAGGCTACAGCTGTACTGGCTGGGCTGACGGCTTTCCAGCCAATCAGACTTCCTCATGGTCAAGACGGCGGTCACTGCCGGGGTGGTAACGTGTGCCTACGGCCCCTGCCTCTGGGAGTTTAGGATGAGGATCACAAGTTCGAGTTTCGCCTGGGCAACCTGGTAAGGTAGCAAGAAAAAAATTTAAAAGGTGCTGGGGATACAGTGTGCAGGCCCTGGCTTCAACCCCCAGTGCAAAAGAAACAGTCCTCAGGACCACGTGGAAGGGCCACGCGGTCAGATCTTTATGGTCCACTTCAGTCCACGTGCTCAAGTGTGGTTAGGAAGAAAGCAAGAACAGGGTGGACAGTGTGCTGAGGGGAGAACGCACAGGAGACAGCAGAAGCACAGGTTCTGGTATCAAGGCCTACATCTCAGCCCCACCACGTAACTCTGTTTAACCTGGGAAAGTCGTTTCTCTGTTCCTCAGTTTCTCCATTTGGTGAGGAAAATGAGGTCACCGGGGTGGGGTTAAACGGAAAATGCATGCAAAGTATTAGGTACAGAGCCTAGCATGCCCTAAACTGTCAGGGAATTTGTACCACATAGTATACCTTGATAAATCAGTACCGCAAATATGCCTTCTTCCATTTAGCATACTGTAAATTGTAGGAGTTCTTGTCCTTTAAAACTCTACTATTTATGTATAGAGTACATTTCCCATTCCCATACGTTCACTGCTGTTCAAAACTGACCTTCATATACCATGCATAGTTAAAATCACTAGAAATACATAGTGCATTCACTGAAAACGTCATATAATACAGAAGTGCAAGTTTTAAAGTCAGAGATGTAGGATCAAGTTCCCACATGTCGAAAGGCTTATCCAAGTTATGAAACCTCTCTGTACCTATTTTTCTGCTTGTGAAAATAGAAATAAAATATGTATTGCAAAAAATTGTGACGTGGATTAAGTAGTAATAGTGAGATACTGAGCACACAAAACACCCTCAGGAAATTTCCTGCATGTGCTTTCACAAACACACTCCTGCACACACACCTGAACGACTGCCCGTCTCTATGGACAGTAGATGAAACATTTTCTTAGGTAATCTTAGCCACCATTTTCATACTTTATGCAGTATGTTTTGATGCCTATTGCGGTAGTTTTCAAACCAAGGTACCACACCCCAGGCATACCAAAAGACTTCCCAGCTGGTACAGACCCATGGAAATAGTTAAGGGAATCAACTTCTAGATCTTCAGCTTCCCTATGGACTCTTTCCTACAACTGACCTGAGACCTGTTTGTCATGGTAGTCCTTCCTACCTCCTTTTCCACAATCTACCTTTGAAAGAAAGGCGCTTTACAAAAGACATAAACGTAAAAACCTCTAGAGTACTAAAATGGTAACAGCCTTCCTTTTCATGCAGTTTCCATAAATATCCCCAGATTTCTCATTAAGAAATAAATTTCGAATATAAACTAAGTTAGTAATGGCTTACCACATTTACTTTTATAATTTACGTTTTATCTTCAACTGTGTTCTAATAATAACTGCAACAGTAACATAATCCAAAAGAGAAAAATTAGTATTTAGAGGCTTATTGTCAAAGGACATTAAGAAAGACGTTTCATTTATATACACGCACTCATATACTGCAGGAAAGTACCGCAGGTGAGCAAAAGGAGGCTCTCGGGAACAGCAGGGTAACATTCGGTGGGGGAAGCGGGATGAAAACAAAATTCAAAGACGAAAGGGAATGACGTAACATCTCTCAGTGTTAAAAAGCTTCACCCTAACATGAACGGCTGTGGACATTATACAGAACCCTGAACAAATTTCACAGGGCGATTTACAAACGTCAGTATCTACCATAAGCCAGGCATTGCTACTTCTCCATTTAAATTTATGAAGCAAAAATTAAATAATTATTTTTAGAGCCATGGGGTCGGGAA